TAAATTATAAAAACCAGTTTTTGGAACATTTATGTATTGCAAATATTAATTTTTTTCCAGGTTGTTAATTAGCAACTCCCTCTTTCTAAAAGTTTCATTGATCAGGGGCCAGTGAACAATCCTGTCCAAGATTTTCTTGAACCTTCTACTGCTAAGGATATCTGCTCAAATGTAATTTGGTATACTGCTTAATATATTATTAGGTCAGACAAAGAAATATTGAGCTGGCTAGTTGGAAGAATCTAGTCTATAGCTTTCACAAAGTTGCTTTACTTTCTTTTATTTTTCTGCCTTACTTTCTTACTTTGACATTAAACATTATTTTCTCAGGACCTGGGACACTAATTTAAGGAAAAATCTAGATATTTAGGGTCTCCCTCCCATTTTTAATAAAATAAAGTTTTATTCACAGTACAATTAATTAGCCAAACATACCTGAAAATATATGCATTTTTGTTTATATGTAATATGACTTAATTACAAAGAAATGTGTAAAAATCTTTGCTAATCTTCTTTCCCTCTAAATCCAAAGTATTTTTAAAATTGAAAGTGAAAGTTGCTCAGTCATGTCCGACTCTTTGCGACCACATGGACTCTCCACGGAATTCTCCAGGCCAGAATACTGGAGTGGGTAGCCTTTCCCTTCTCCAGGGTATCTTCCCAACCCAGGGATTGAACCCAGGTCTCCCACACTGCAGGCAGATTCTCTACCAACTGAGCTCTCAGGAAGCCCCCTTTTTAAATTGAGATACAGGTAATTAGTTTTAAAGGTCTAATATTTCAAGTTAAAGAGAAGATGCTATAGTTCTTAGGTATGGGTCATGAGGCTACAAACACTCAATGGGAAATATTAACTCTCAGAAAGATCACTTAAGAGTCAATTAGCCTTTTTAGATTCAGATAGTAAAGCCTACTTTAAAGCAGATAATTATATATACAAACATGAGAGAAACTCACTTAGATTAAGAAAATAAAATCCTATATGTCTATCTAGTAATAAAACATTTTAAATCCTAAATTATTAAATATTATTTAGAAAATAATTGTCAGGCTTTCAAGTAATATTTATGAAGGAAATGAACAGTGATCAAAAGCACGGACTCTGGCTCTGAGAACTGGCTCTCTTTGTAACCATGTTTACTTGGGCAAGTTATTTAATCTTTCTGCCTCAGTTTCCATATGCAGAGTGCTGAAAATAACAGTATACACCTTATTGAGGATTAAATGACTTAATATATGTAAAGTACTTAGTAAAGTGCCTAACACATAGTAGATGTTCAATAAATATTTACTACGATTATTATTTTTATTAGCAGTAGCAGGAACAATAGGCTTCCCAGGTGGTTCAGTGGTATAGAATTCGCCTGCCAAGCAGGAGATCAAGGTTTGATCCCTGGGTCAGGAAGATCCCCGGGAGGAGGAAATGGCAACCCACTCCAGAATTCCTGCCTGGGAAATTCTATGGATAAAGAAGCCTGGTGGGCTACAGTCCATGGGGTCACCACCACCAGTAGGAATAATGGGAGAAAACTGAATAAAATAGTTGTGATACTTTGTGTCACTCAATGCTCAAAAATATTCAGTGGTACCCCACAGACTATTGAATTAGGCATAAAATACTCAGTTTGACATTTTAGAATGCATGGCTAAGCTTGTAAATATCACCTAATAGTTTTCAAATTAGAGTAAACTTCATGTAATGTTACTACCAATTTAAACTTTTCCAAGATCACAAGTGCACTTATACTTCCATTTTTGAAATGAAGGCCAACTAGATAAGGTGAAATTAAATAAAGCATATAGAAATGCTGGATAAAAAAATGACCAACATACTTTTAAATGAATAGCTAAACCTCTTAAGAAATTAAGGGAAACCCTAAGTCATCACAAAAAGGGAACCTAAATTTAGGTTGGCAAGTATAAACCAATGCTTATGACTACCTGATAAGTATATGGCAATGTTTATAAACAAAGGAACTGTATTTTAACAGCCACAAAGGATCAGGATCCAGGGTTTAGGGCTCAGTAAGAAAGGGAATTAGAATTAAGACTCTTGAGTAATTGAGAGGCCCTCATTGAAAAGGAGTAGAAAAACAAAAATCCACAAAGGAAGATCACAAGGAAACTTAAAACAAACAGGTATAGGTTCTGCATGGTTCAGGAACTCTTCAGGACAGAAGTTAACATTAAAAAAGTTCTGAACTGATAATACTCTTTGGGTACCTGGCCTAAATGAAAGAAAAACCATGCAGAAGAGATATATTTTCAACTTAGGCCCCTCATGAGTCCTGTGAGTCTTCTTTAAGATAATCCATAATCCAAAATTACAAAACACATGCAGATGAGAGTCATCATGAGTTAATGTCAGCAGACACAATAGCAGAATTAGATCTCCAAGGACTTCAGATAATAGAATTAATGTGGTTAAAGAAAAATTTGAACAGGATTTGAAAATATGAGAAAGGAAGAAATTAACAAAAAATCAGACAAATTGGTAAAGGAAGCAAATAGAACTTACAGACTTAAACACAGATTAGGCATGGCTGAAGAGAGAATTACTAAATTGAAGTATTAATATGAAAAAAATTACACAGAAGACAGCACAGAGAGATAACAAGTAGACAATACAAACAAGAGGTTAAGAGACATGAAAAAAATAAATGACTAACATATAGTGAACAGGAATTCCATAAGGAGGGAATAGAGGAAGTAGAAAAAATGCACTATTTAAAGAAATAATGACTGGAAATTTTCCAGAAATTATGAAATGCCAAACATATATTTTCATACCAACTAAAATAAATAAAAATAAATTCACATTTAGATATATAATACTGAAACAAGAACACCAAAGACAAAAAGATAATCTTAAAAAGAGCCAGATAAGAAAATATTGCCTCCAGATGAGACACAATTATAGATGTTGAGAGTAGACTTCCTAATAGCAACAACTGAAAATAGTATTTCATGGTCATCTTCTTTTTAAAATTTTTTCATTTTGGCCACACCACACAGCATGTGGAATCTTAGTTTCCCAGAGATGGGACCCATACCCCCCTGCAGTGGAAGTGCAGAGTCTTAACCACTGGACCATCAGGGAAGTTCCAGTATTCTGGGACTGCCTTCTGATTTCTAAGTGCTGGGAAAAAAAAACCAACTATTAACCTGAAATTCTAAACTTGGCTAAGCTATTTTTAGACAAAAACATCAAGTTGACCATGACCTGAAAGAACTACTATAAGATGTTTTTAATAAGAAGAAAATTGGATCGGAAAGAAGGACCAGGATGAAGAGCGAGGAGAGGTAAATATGTGGAAAAACACTGAAAATAAATACTGAAAATAATGATTCATTTGGGAATTATAAAAAAAAGTGGAACAAAAATGCTGGACAAAATGTAGTTTGTAAGTTGAAGGGGATTAGAGATTTGTCTAAGGATCTATTTGTGAGAAAAGTAGAACTGATCAACTTTAACCATTCTTTATTCATTCAACAAGTATCTTTTATAGACAGGTAAAACTATAATAACAGAAGTCATAAAAGCTATTATTTTACATGGAGTTGTGCAAAGAAGGGGACGTGAGGCATAAGGAAGCATGTCAGAGGTGCTGAAAACATTCTATTATTTGATCTCTGTGGCGGTTACATGGATGGACTCACTTTGTGTTATTTCATTGAATTGTCTGCTTATCATTTGTATACTTTTCTGTATGTAATTACATATGTATGCACATGTAATATTTCTGCAAATTTTATAAAAATAAGCTCTACTACACAGTTTACACCAAAATAAAACTTTGATAGATTATAAATATATAACTTTAAATACAAGTCCTAAAAGTCATGGGAAAAAAATAGAGGTTAGTATTTATATAATGTTGATTGGGAAAGAACTTTCTAAGCATGACATCAAAGGCAAAAATCACTGGTAACTCTGACTACATAAAAGTTAAAAAAAGAAAAGTTTTATAAAACAAAACAAAAATACCAAATAGAGGAAACTATGTTTTGCAAAATATATAACAGAAAAATGGTCACTATCCTTTATATAAGGGACAAAGAACATGAACTGGAAATTCATGAGAAGAAATACATAAATGGCCAGTGAGCTCTAGAAATCAACAAAGAGGTTAACTAATTTGCATAAATGCACAAAAATGGTAAAAGGGAACGATTTGAATCCAGTCTATCTTATCTTTCAATTAATATTTGTTTATGAATGATTATATATTTATAACTATAAGAAGTTTTTACCATAGACTACAAAATGCAGCTTATAAAACAGAACGTGCAATGAGGCAAATAATACAAAGTGAAAAAGTACAAAAACACCACTAGTGCCTTCCTGTGTATCTATGTATACATGACTCAGCATGGATCTCTCAGGGCTCCCAATCATTAAATTTAACTATCATGCCATGGGTCTCTAGTTTCCTCCTCATCCTCTGTCCTTCCTAACTTTAGCTTCCAAATTAATCTTCCTAAAATACTGTGACCTTCTTGTAACTGTCCTGCTTGAAAACTTTCAATAATTCCTCATTTTCTACATAAGAAAGCAGAAAAAAATTCTTCAGCATGGAATTCAAGGCCTTCCACAATCATGGCATTCAGTTAACCTTTTCACTTATTACATACATTCCAGCTAGTTGACTACTTGCTGTTCTTTTTCTATGTATGTTGCCTATAGCTTTCTGTTACTTGTTCATGTGGTTAAATCTGCTTAGAATGTGCTCTCCCTCCTTATGTCCATTTTTTTATCCAAGGCTCGGTTTACACACTATCATCTCCATGAAACTAGTTTCTCTTAGCCACTCAGAATCCACGGCTCTTTTACCTCTCTCTCCAGGCACTTATTTTCTTATTTTTTATGTTCTATCTTTATCCTACTCATTTTCGTGTTCAGTTTGGTCAGCACTGACCTTACTTCTCCTACATAAAGGGAGTTTAAGTCTTCCTCTCCGGGAAAGGGGAGAGCTACAGGACTGAATGTTCTCCCTCACCTTTTTGCGTTGTGCACAGTGGTTCCTCCCAGGACAATCCTCACTCCAGGAGTGGTGCGGTTCAGGTTATAGACTGCCAGAGCCTCTTCATAGGTGGCTCCGCCAATGATAAACACAATAATATCCTGAGGTCTGCAATAATGAAGCAAGTTAGGTTTATAGCATAGGAGGGGAAAAAAGGCAAAGATTTGCTATGCTCTTATATACACAGTTTTAATTTCTGAATCTTTCTTTTTTGGTAAAGGAAGCAGAATTAAAGCAGAATAGAATAAAAGGTTTAAAAAAAGTTTTAATTATCTCAAATTGGCAGGAAACAGAGCAGGAAATGCTGAATAGTGATTTGCTTTCTGTTTATGAGCGGATGTCTTATAATTTCTGTGCTGTGGATTTCAGAATAGCACAATAGTGTTTGCTAGAACCAAATGTAGAAATATTCTTTTATATTCAAGAGGCTGAAGAGTACTTCACTGTGATATGATATCAATATAACAGTAATTTATGCTTACACATCTCCTTTCATATATAAGCCCTTTGTCAAATACTTAGTACAGTGTCATTACAACGGCTTCTGTCCAAGGACCTCAAAGTATTTTGGAAAGTACTGGTATATCTGGATGTCCCCATAACATGGGAACTAGAAACATTTAGTATTTTGAGTGCAAAAAAAAAATGGGACACATAAATTAAATCTAGAATCCTACCTCTTCTTAAAATTTTTGTTTCTCAATCCTTTGACAAACCAAGAAAAATAAACCATGGAAACAAAGAAAGAACTTGTGGGTATAGTTTTGATATTGGACATTCTGACACATCATCTCAGTCACTAGCCTCATTTAGGTCATACTGTGTTGTTTCACTGTTTCAATTGTTATCAAAATGGCTTCATAACAAAAGTGAGTAGTCCTCCTATTAGGTCTTTCTGTAGATATTAACAAGAAGATCACATTATTTTCAAAATTGTCAAAGTCTGCTCTTTTCTCATGTCATCAGAAGATAAAATTACTTAATCTTAGTAGGCAAGTAACTTTGTTAAATCACTTACTGGACATTACTTAAAATTACATCAAGCAGAAGCATCCATTTTGGAGATTACAGCACAAAATTAAATAGAAACAGCTTTAGTCAAAGGATGTGCATGCTTATGTATGAATCTTGAAAAAAAGCTCCCCAAAGCCCCAGCAATCCTACATTGGCCTTTCTGTTTGTCTCTCTGTCTTATTCTAAAACATCTTGAAGGAATCACTAACCAAGAGAGTATTTGTTCTTGTGGGACTTCATGAAAACAGAATCAGAAATTGTGGCTATTTAAAAACATTCGGGTGCAGCCACTATGGAAAACAGTAGGGAGGTTCCTCAAAAAACTAAAAATAGTGTTGCCATATGATACAGCAACCCCACTCCTGGGCAAATATCCAGACAAAACTATAACTCAAAAATATTCATGCACCCCTATGTTCATAGCAGCACTATTCACAATAGCCAAAACATGGGAACAATCTAAATGTTCACTGACAGATGAATGGATAAAGAAGATGTGATACATAAATACAATGGAATACTATTCAACCATAAAAATGAATGAAATAAAGCCATTTGCAGCAACATGGATGGACCCAGAGATTATCATTCTAAGTGAAGTAAGTTAGAAAATATGACACAAAGGAATTTATTTATGAAATAGAAACAGACTCGCTGTAATAGAGAACAGACTTGTGGTTGCCAAAGGGAAGGGGAAATGCAAGAGGGATGGACTGGGAGTTTGGGGTTAGTAGATGTATTACATATAGAATGGATAAACAAAGTCCTACTGTATAACACAAGGAAATACATTCGGTATCCTGCAATAAACCATAGTGAAAAAGAATATAAAATGAAAGTATATATGTGTATAACTGAATCACTTGCTGCACAGCAGTAATTAACACAACATAGTGAATCAACTACACTTCAATTAAAAAACAAAACAAAACAAAAAAATATTCGGAGACTTCCCCAGTGGTGCAGTGGATAGGAATCTGCCTGCCAATGCAGTGGACACAGGTTCGACTCCTGGTGCAGGGAGATCCTACATGCCGCAGAGCAACTAAGTCTGTGCACAACTACTGAGCTTGTGCTCTAGAGCCCAGAAGCCACAACTACTGAGCTCACATGCGGCAATTACTGAAGCCCGTGCACCTAGAGCCTGTGCTCTGAAATAAGAGCAGCCACCTCAATGAGAAGCCTAAGCATTGCAACTAGAGAATGGCTGCTGCTCACTGAAAGGAGAGAAAAAACCTAGGCAGCAAGGAAGACTCAGCACAGCCAAAAGTAAAATAAAGAAAAAAAAAAATTAAAAATAAATTCAGATAATCTGAGCTTCAGAGATAACCAATGAAGACTCCCAATGGTGAATGGATAGTTATTCTGCAATTGATTCAGCAGAGTCAATTATGACATTTCTATGTGAACTTGGGACTTAAAACTATGCCTTTGAAATGTTACTTTTTAAGCCAAAATAAGCTTCATTCAAATCTACCCACTGGAAAAAATGTACTTAGCACCACAATGCTTTATGTGTTACATAGTGCTATATATTCTACAATCATTTTTTTAAATTTTAAAATATACTGTTTTGGTGAATTCCCTCGTGGTCTGGTGGCTAGGACTCTTGTCCTTCTACTGCAGATGGCCCTGATTTATTTTGAGTAGGGGAACTAAGACCCCACAAGCTGTGTGGCATGGCCAAAATAAAATAAAATATCTGGCTTTGACTAGATAAATGTTTGCATATGGTATAACACAAAAAAGGGTATATTATAAAAAAAAAAAAAGAAAAAAAAAAGCTTTCTTCTCGCCTCAGTCCTCTTGCACCCCAGTTTCTTCCTAGAGGCACTTACTCATTTCTTATGTATATCCTTTCAGAGATACTATGTGTATAAATTTGTGTATATACATGTATTCACAAATTTACATATTTTTATTATAAGATACATGCGTATATGTATATATTTAATATGTATTTTATACACAGTTTATAAACTGCCTTTTATATATAGCCGTGTGGACATATTGTGCATTTTACATTTTGGTAGTTATCTCCAAGGTGCTCCACTGATGTCATTCTACCAGCAATTCAGGAAAGTGCCTACTTGCCATATCCTGTGAGTACTGTGTGTTACTGAGGCTTCTGGCCCTTTTAAATTAAGTTGATCACTTGGTCTTCCTCAAAATACTTTCTTTACTTGGTTTCCAGGACATCATATTGTTTTGGTTTTCTTCCTGCTTTGTTGGTTTATATTTTTCAGTGTCTCATGATGGTCTCATCTCACCTCCTTGACCTCTTAATGGTGGAATGTCCAGAACCCAGTCACTGGGCCTCCTTTCTTCTTGATCTACACTTACTCCCTGGATCTGTCTAACGTAGCAGCCACTAGCCACATATGGCTATTTAAATTTAAATGAATTAAAGTAAAATTTAAAATGCAGTTCTTCAGTGTAACTAGCTTTATTTCAGTGCTCAACAGTCATATGTAGCTAGTAGCCTATCTTATTAGATAGCATGGGTATACAGTACATTTCCATCATCGTAGAAAGTTCTTTGAACTACACTTCCCTGGGTGACTGCACTCAGTTTTGTGGTTTAGAATACAGTTATCTGCTGATGACTCCCAAATCTCTATCTCTAACCCAGACCTCTCTCCGAAATGCTAGACGTAAGTATCTATGTGACATTTCTACTTGGCTGTTTAGTTTATATCTGAACTCAGCAAGTTCAAATCCCTAATCTCCTCCTCCAAGCTTGTTCCACATATAGCTCTCCCCATCTTAGCTGATGGCCAATCTATCTTTTCACTTGCTTAGGACAAAAACTTTAGAGTCATCCTAATTTCTCCTCTATGGTTGGTGTGAAGCATATAAGTTAGAGATATAATGAGAGGAGCCTGAAAAGTCACTGGAGCCTGGCTTGCTGCAGTCCATGGGGTCACAAAGAGTCAGACATGACTTAGGCACTGAACAACATAGTGAGAGGAAGAGAGGGAGAGTCTTGAACCTCATAGGTCATGGGGGGATCACCGAAGGGCTGTAACAGGTTACCATGGTCAGATCTGCCTTTTTGAATGATAATTTTGGCAGCTATGTGAGAATGAATTGGTGGCTGCTGGTGGGAAAATTTGGGGAACAAAAGGCTACTTTTAAAACTTGTGGGAAGATGTGATAAAAATTGGAAATAAGAAATACCAGAAGTGGAGGGGAAGGACTGGATATAGAAGATACAAAAAATGTAGACTCTAAAAAAAAAAAAAAAATAGACTCTTCAGTATTTGGTCAATGATTAAATGTGAAAGATGAGGATAAAAGAAGAATCCATGGTAACTTTAAGAATTCCAGCTTTGGTGACTAGCTATAGTAGTTTAAGTTTGAGAACAAAGAAAGCAAGACTCACTGACTTAAAGGAAGACAAAAAGATGCTATCTTTTACATACCTGTGGAACATCCTAGTGGAGTTGTCCACCAGATATCTGGACATTGAGACCTGGTGATTTCCATGAATATAAGTGGCAACTGAAGCCATGGGGATAGATGAATTCTACCTAGGGAGATCAAGAAGAATGAGAAGAGAACCAAAAGACAGAATTGGGAGTGGATTCTTTAAGATTTACAGGAAAAGCAAGAAGAGTAGCTAGCAAAGGCAGCTGAGAAGGAGACTGTCAGAAAGGTAGGAGAAGCAGAGGGGAGAGGCCAAGAGATGAGTTTCAAGAAGCACAGAATGGTTAAGTGAGGATTGAAAGAGACCACGGTGTATATTCTTGCAATGCGACTTTTCAAGAAATGTTTCAGTGTATTAGAGTGAAGCAAGAAGCCAGGCTATATGGATTGAAGAAGTGAGGAGTGAAGGCAGTAACTTTATCCAAGAAGCCTGACTGAGAAGGGAAGATAGGTTAGAAGAGAACCCTGACTCAAGGGCTTTAAACTTATTACTTAACAGGAGAAACCTGAGTAAGTGTGGAGCCTGCAGGAAAGTAATCAGAGGGAGACAAGCTGAAAATACAGAGGAAGGAGGGAGAGGGAGAGGGAGAGAAAGAGAGAGACAATGCAAATAATTACTGAGAAAGGCTTCAGAAGTGATAGTAGGAGTCTAAAACTAGTGATAG